ATTAATGCCCCCTTCCCAGACCCCGCCTCCGGTGTCCCCCTCTCCTACTGGGCGCTCGGGGCTGTGCGCCTCCCACTTTGATCGAGGATCCTAAGGCTCAGAGCCCTGCGGGCTTGGAAGAACTTCGCGAGGCTTTTCCGGGATGAGCCCTGGAGCTGGGAGGAGGTGGCAAGCTGGGCATCGAAGTAGAGTAGGAGCGAGAAGCCTCAGACTGTGCAGGCTGGCCCAGGGCCGCTCCAGGCGCGATCTCACTTTTCTCACCGGCTTGGTAGGGTCTCTGTGGGTTGAATTAGGACTGGATCTGGTTCTCCAGGACTTGAATCTTACAGGGGACCCCAGAGTTCATGCGGGTGAATCCCTTTTGTTACAAATGGGTACACTGAGGCCCAAACAGGGAGAAGTGATTCACCAAGTTGCACAGAGTGAGACTCCCTCTGGACTCTGGATCCTGTTGGCATTAACCTGTGTCTGATCCTGGTGCACTGCACGTCTCTCAGGTTCTGCCACCCCCTCCCCCCACTGTGCTTTCAGCTTCTCCCTCACTTTTCAGGTGGTGGGCATCAGTTCTTCCTAGCCTAGCCGACTGGCCAAGAGGGACTGGGGTGAGGGTGGCCATGACTCCCCAGATGGCCTGGGAGATACCACCCAGGATCTGGAGTCTGGGCTGCCAGGGAAGAAGCCGCTGCCTGCTGACCTGCCTGTGTCCCTACAGCTCCGCCATCGACAAGCGGTCAGGGGAGAAGGTGGCCATCAAGAAGCTGAGCCGGCCCTTCCAGTCTGAGATCTTTGCCAAGCGTGCCTATCGAGAGCTGCTGCTGCTGAAACACATGCAGCATGAGAATGTAGGCTGGGCCTGGGAGCTGCTCTGGGGAGGCAGGGAGCCGAGGGTGGCCCCAGAGAGGGTCTTGACCAGGCCCCTCCGTATGTGTGGGAAATGGCCTGAGAGAGTACAGGGAGCTCCTGACAGGGCCAGCAGAAGGGGAGTCTCCTCCCTGTTCCTCTGGCCCTTGTTCCTTACCTAATTATTACAATCAGGTGCCAGGACCTGAAAGGGTGCAAAGGGAATTTTTGGCAAGAGAGCAGAACAAGCTTTGTGAGGTGCAAACTTACCGTCTCACTGTTACGAGGAAATGGACACAGAAGAACTTTGTAGTTGTTCTAGATCTGAGAGCTGGAATCCTAGTTAATATTGTTTTCACATGTGGCCCTGTTAATATTAACAACAATAATAATACAGTGATACTTATTGAGCATTTACTTTGTGCCAGGCACAATTCTAAGAACTTTGCATAAACTAACTTGTTTAATCCTCACAATATCACATAAGATAAGTACTATTACTTCAATGGGGAAACTGAGGCACAAAAAGACTCACAGGTTATATGGTTAGTCAGTGGCAGAGCTGGCTGCAAGCCTCAGTGCCTAACCTCTAGACTGTCCCATCTGATTGAAACAGCCAGGAAAACTAGTGACCCAGTGCTGGGCCTGGCACCCAGGCTTTGTTCCAGGATACCTAGATTGGAAGGCAAACATTCAAAATAATGATTTCAAAATATTGCGTACATTTTAAGTCCCATTGCTCTTCAGCAAACCCCTCTCCGTGGCCTCCAGCCAGGGGCAATTTTGCCCCCAGCTCCAAACCAGCCCTTTGTCAGGCATGGTTGGATATGGTAGGATACCCAAGGTCCAGAGCAGGCAGCCTGCTGACTGGAAGGCCCCTCCTTGTTTCCCTTCTTCACTTGTGGTTCTTGGCCTGAGTTGAGAGTGGGTTTGTGTGCTTGTCCTGACCACCAGACTTGGGGTAGTAAGCACAGGAATGTCCACCTCCCCCTCTCCCCAGCCTGACTCTCCATCACTGTGCCCTGCAAACTCCCTCCCAATTTGGGGAATTCCTCTTCCACCTCTGCCCCTTTTATTGCTTCCGAGGCTGGGAACCTGCCTCCTGCTGGAGATGGTGTTTTGGAAAGGACAGGTGCAGGGCTGTGGCCCCAGAGGAGGGGAGCAGAGGGCAGCAGCAGCTGCCTAGCCCTCACTGGCAACCTCTCCTCAGGTCATCGGGCTTCTGGATGTCTTTACCCCAGCCTCCTCCTTGCGCAACTTCCATGACTTGTGAGTCGGGCTGCCGTGGGTTCCAGGACATTTGCAGGCCTTACTTGCCACTGGGGAGCAAGTAAGGAGAGGGTCCAGATTCTCTTTTCTGGGTAAAGGTGCTTCCTGCCCCAGGAGTCCCTGTGCCTTTGGGCTGTGGAGAGATTCTTTAAGCCAAGGGTGGAGAGAAATGGAGGGAGGAAGAAGTGGGAGGGGCTTGTGGGGTGCTTGCCTGATACGGAGCTGTCTGTCTGCTTTGCTTTACCCAGCTTTATTGCCCAGATATTATTGCCAGTCCCCACAGGGTTTGCATCAACTTACCACACCATTCCCTGGGGGCGCAGGTGTGGGTCTGGACCTTGGGCTCTCCCTAGCATAAAGTGAGGATCAGGAAGCCTTGGCTGCCTCTGGCTGATGTGATATTTGACAGAGCCACAAAGAAAGGAAAATTTTAGTTCCATGGCTTTGCTAGTGCAGTACATGGTCTAAAATTTAGGAACCTTTGGGAAGGTGGCTTTTTTTTTTTTCCAATCCTATTTCAAATGCAGCTGCAGGTCTCTTTGTTAGGATGCACCCCCCCCCAACACCCACACAGTATAATGCAATGATTTTAAATGGAGATTTTTCCTATGATGCTAGCTGCTGTGCTTAGCATTGGAAATTTAAAGTGGACCAGCCCTTTAGAGGCTGGCAGTGGTGAATAACGACACTGGTGGTCAGTGCTTTGGGTCTGGGTGGAGAGCTGTGAATTGCAAGCTGCCTCAGTGGGCTTCAGAAAGGAGGCAACTCAGAACTCAGTCCTGATGGATGAGTAGACATTTGCCTGAGGTAGAAGGGGCTAACAGCATTCTGTGGAAGGAACTGCATGGACAAAGACCATGATGCATGAAAGAGACTGGACCATTTGGGCAATCCTGAGAAGTTCAGTGTGGCTAGTGGAGGCCAGCAGCTGGTTTGGTCAGGCTGAGTCCGGACTTGGTCCCACAGGCAGCCTTAAGTCCACAGAGGTTTTGAGCAGGGAGGTAATGTAGTCAGATTAGATTTTGGGGATGCACTCTGGCAGCAGTGAGAAAGGGGTGGGGAGCAACTCTGGGAGGCGGGGAACATGGAGAGTAGTGTTTGTGACCCAGACCTTGATCTAAATAAAGCAGAGGTGATGGGACACCAAGAGCAGACTTGAGACCCATTGAGAGGCAGGACTGTCAGAATGTTGTATCCCTTGGGATGCAGTGGCTGGGAGGGGTGACGTAGAACAGGGGATGCCAGGTTCCTGCTTGGAATACTAGGTGGAGGGCAGACAGATCCTGAGAGAAAGATAATGAACTCCGTTTTGGACACTTCATTTTTGAAGAGCTTATGAACATTCAAGTGTTTAATCAGCAATTGCAAATAAACCTGGCGCTAAGGAAGGTCTGGGCTAGGGATGTGGGTCTGGGCTGGAATAATCACCCATGGATGATAGCCGAAGCCCAGGAACAGGTTAGTATAGAACACGATGCTATACTGTTGTAAGACAACAATATTTAAGAGAAAGTACAAGAGGATGAACAGGTGGAGAGGTGAGAGAGCCTGATCAGTGGTAGAAGTGGCAGAGCAGAGAATCTTGAGGGAGTGTCAGACTTTGCAAAAGGTTCAGTAGAAAGAGAGCTGTGTGTGCATGTGTGTGACTTTAGTTGAGCAGCACTGGCGGTGGGGCAGGAGCAGACACCAGTTGCCAGGACTGGGACTGGAAGTTAAGGCAGTGGGGTCACAGGTGAGGAGCATTCTTTCTAGGAGTTTGATCAGGGAGGGAAAGGGAGAAGGAGTGATTACTTGAAGAAACAAAGTCAAAGGAAGGTAGTTATAGCGCCATGAGACTTCAGCAAGTTTGTCAACTGAGGAAAGAATCAGGGTCCATGTAAAGGTGAAACTCAAAGGTGGAGAGGGGACTGAACAGGGTCCGTCGGGGACGGGGTGAGGTCAGGTGGAAGAAGACTTCAAAAGTGACAGGCTCATAGAGATGGTCTCCATATCCTTTTTTAAAAAAAATTCCTTTAAAAATCATTATCTTTTTTGTTCTGGACTTTGCTGTTACTGCCTTGAGTAACAGTTACATTTTGCTGACCTTGATCTGTTTTGCAATCCCATTAAGAGGGTGCAGTGGTTCAGCTATCTCCTTCCTTCTTCCACCCTCCTGGAAACTGTTTTATTATTTCCTTCTTGGAAGGAAGACCTTTTTCTTGGCGGGGTGGTCGGGGGGTGGAGGAAGACATTTTTAGATGGTCGAGGAGCCATCTCAGTGGGCCATGACCCTCTGGGAGAGAAAATATTTGTACAGAAGCAGAAATACTGGCAGATGTTTCTAACTCACAGCATGGCTTTCCGTGGGGCTTGGAGGAGGGCAAGGAGAGGGCACCTTTGAAGAGATGAACACTGCTCCGTTTGGTCTTTCTGAGCATGCTCCAGCTGAAATACTCTAAGCTCTGCCAACTGGGAGGCTGCTGGGGCCAGGCTGAGAGCCAGGAGCCAGGAGGCCCGCTGCTTGGGAGTCTGGCTGCTGGTGGTGGGGCTGGTTCTTCTCATATACAGAGGTCATCTCTAAGGCCCTCACCCCTCCTCTGAGCTCCGACCTGGGGCTGGGTAGGGCTGGGACTGTTCAAGAAGCCCTTGTGTCTTGCAGCTACCTGGTGATGCCCTTCATGCAGACGGACCTGCAGAAGATCATGGGGATGGAGTTTAGTGAGGACAAGATTCAGTACCTGGTGTATCAGATGCTCAAGGGTCTTAAGGTGGGTGGGACCCTGGAAGATGGCAGAGGACGGGGGCTTGGTGTTGAGATCTGGGGTCTGGGGAGGCCAGGCCTTGAAGGCTGGGAGAGCACACTGTGACAGGGCAGAGCAGCTCTCTGGGTCAGCCTGCAACACCTGGTGCTCACCTGGACCCACCCTTCTCTCTCTCTCCCCAACACAGTACATCCACTCAGCTGGGGTCATCCACAGGGTGAGTGCTTTCTCTGCTACATCCTCAGAGGCCCCACCCACCCCTAGAAGGGTTCTCCACATCACAGGGGCAGGGAGAAATGGAGGGAATGTGGATTTTCCAGGCTCCACCTTGGCTTAGGAAGGTCTATTCAGAAGAATTGCAGTGTTCTGGGGAACTTTCTGGGAAAATGTTGCAAACAAAGCCCTGAGCTGGGTATTTCAGGCTCCAAGAGTCAGCAACATGGATGGGCCCTGAAGGACACCTAGTCCAACCATCATTCTGCACAGGAGACTGACACCTAGAAAGAGGGAAAGGGGCCAGCTGAGGTCCCACACCGGGTGGCAGCCGATTGGGACAGCTCCCATCTCTGCCTCTGCCCAGTGCTCACTCTCTCCTCTCATTTAGGACCTGAAGCCAGGCAACCTCGCTGTGAATGAGGACTGTGAGCTGAAGGTGAGCGGGCCCAGGCAGGTTAGCCTGGGCTTGGGGTGGGCCCCTCTCTGTGGGAGCTCCAGAAGCTTCTCCGGGAGCCTCCTCTCCTTGCAAGCTCCTTCTCCCTATGTCCCCCGAGTCGTAGATCTTGGATTTTGGGCTGGCGCGGCATGCAGATGCGGAGATGACTGGCTATGTGGTGACCCGCTGGTACCGGGCCCCTGAGGTGATCCTCAGCTGGATGCGCTACAACCAGACTGGTCAGTGGTCAGCTGCCCGGGGGAGGGGCACGAGGCTGGGGGGAGGGGGGTCTTCTTTGACAGCTTCCACAAGGCCGTGTTGGTGATTCTGGGTTGACTGACTACTGGGTCCTGGTCAGCTGGTCCAGATGACACTTCCTCCCCCTCCCTCTGCAGTGGACATCTGGTCTGTGGGCTGTATCATGGCAGAGATGCTGACAGGGAAAACTCTGTTCAAGGGGAAAGATTGTATCCTTTGCTACAAAAGCCATACTCCATCCAGGGATTCATTCCTTCAACAGACACTTTATTATTTAAATCTCTTTTTCCCTTAATGTGAAAGTGATACTTGCTCTCTGTGGAACAATTTTAAAATGCAGAGAAGCAAAATCATGAAAACTAGTCACCTGTCATTCCACCATCATGTAGAAAATACTTGAAGTTTTAGCACCACATATAGGAATTGAGCACCTGTGTGTGCTGCACAGGGATTGAGAAGATGTGGGGTCTGCCCTGCCAAACTCAGAGTGTGAGGGGCAAGATGCGAAGAAATGGATGGAGGTGACTGAGTGAGATGAGGCTGGGAAGGCAGCACGTCCAGGAGCATTTGTGGGGAGGGACCCTTAACCCAGCTTGGCAGGTGGGAAGCCTTCCAGAGATCTGAGTCCTGAAGGATGAACCTCCCTCCTGAAAGAAGGGGGAGGTGAGTGTCTGCAGCCTGGATGGTCCATGGTGCTGGGTGGGCCTGATTGAGGGGCAGCAGGAAGGGCACCTTCAGACCTGCCCCCAAGGAGTAAGGCTGAGCCTTAACCTGATGCCAAGACCTGGACCAGCTGACCCAGATCCTAAAAGTGACTGGGGTGCCGGGTGCTGAGTTTGTGCAGAAGCTGAATGACAAAGCAGTGAGTGGCAGTTGGGCCCAGGCTGGCGGGGGCTGTGCACCTGGCTGATCAGGGTCAGGTGGGCTGTAGACCTTTGGGGCGGTGGGTCCACCTGCACCTCCCCTCTGCCCTGGCAAGGGCTCTTGCCTTCATCTCACTTTGGATTCTGACCTGAGCCTTCTGCCCCACTCTGGGGGAATCACTGCTTTATACCCCATGGCCTGAGGGGCTGACAACTGGGGATTATTCAATGCTTTTCCGTATTCCAGGCCAAATCCTATATCCAGTCCCTGCCACAGAGCCCCAAGAAGGATTTCTCTCAGCTCTTCCCACGTGCCAGTCCCCAGGGTGAGTCTTGGGGCCTGCAGTCTGTCTCAGTGGGTAGGCTCTTCCATTTCCAATGTGAGGCTTACACGCTGTTACTGCAGCTGTAGATCTGCTGGAGAAGATGCTGGAGCTGGATGTGGACAAGCGCCTGACGGCCTCGCAGGCCCTCACCCACCCCTTCTTTGAACCCTTCCGGGACCCTGAGGAGGAGACAGAGGCTCAGCAGCCACTTGATGATTCCTTAGAACATGAGAAACTCACAGTTGATGAATGGAAGCGTAAGAGCTGGGGGTCTCAGGCTCCTTCCTCTCTGCCTGCAGCCTCCCTCTCCTCTGCCTCCTTCGTTTTCCTGCCTGGCCTCAGCCAGCCCTACTGCTCTCCTGGAAACTATAGCCTCCTTCTCTGAGCCGATACTGTCTCTTGTGTGTACTTTTTTCTTCCTGAGCTGAGCTGACTTCCTGTTCCACACTATGTTTGAGGTGGGAGGTCTCTGTCTTGCCCTCACCAGTCCCTACCCACCTTGAGCCACCCTGCCTTTCTTAGAGCACATCTACAAGGAGGTTGTGAACTTCAGCCCCATCGCCCGGAAGGACTCTCGGCGCCGGAGTGGCATGAAGCTACAGTGACCCTCGCTGAGCCCAGGAATGACCACATGGCACTACCTGCCAGGCACTGCCTCTGGGACCAGTATTTATTTGTTGCTACTAAAGTTTCAACCCGTTTTGGATTATAGCCTTCCAAGCAGAGGACAGAAGGCCCTTGTCCTTGTGCAGGAAACAGGCAGAATTCAGAGTTGTTGATTGGAAGAAAATAGCTCTAATCATAACCGGCCACATTAAAGCACCCATCTGGAGAAAAGCACGTGTGTGGGGTCCTTTCCTTCATGGCGGTAGTGGGGCTGAGGAGTGGGCGGAACCGGGACAGGGATCTCTGGCAATGATGGTGTATTCGTTTGCTAGGGCTGCTGTAACAAATCACCACAAACTGGGTGGCTTAAAATAACAGAAATTTATTCCTACCGTTCTGGATGCTGGAAGTCTGAAATAAAGGTGTTGGCAGGGCCATGTTCCCTCTTAAGATTCTAGGGAAGAATCCCTCCTGGTCTCTCTTTTTTTAATTGAAGCATAGTTGATTTACAATGTAGTGCTAGTTTCTGGTGTACAGCACAGTGATTCAGCTTTATAGGTTTCTACTACAGGTTATTATAAGCTATTGAATATAGTTCACTGTGCTATACGGTAGGACCTAGTTGTTCATCTGTTTTGTCTATAGTAGTTTGTGCTAATCCCAAACTCCTAATTTATCTCTCCCCTACCCTATTCTATTTTCTAAATGAGTTCATTTGTGTCATGTTTTTAGATTCCACATATAAGTGATATATGGTATTTGTCTTTCTCTGTCTGACTTCACTTCGTATAATAATCTCTAGGTTCATCCATGTTCCTGCAAATGGCATTATTTCATTCTTTTTTATGGCTGAGTAGTATTCCATTGTATAAATATACCACAACTTCTTTATCCAGCCATCTGTAGATGGACATTTAAGTTGCTTCCATGTCTTAGCTATTGTACATAGTGCTGCTATGAACACTGGGGTGCATGTATCTTTTCAAATTAAGAGTTTCCTCCAGATACATACCCAGGAGTGGAATTGCTGGACCATATGGAAAGTCTATTTTTAGTTTTTAAAGGAATCTTCATACTGTTTTCCATAGTGGCTGTACCAAATTTCATTCCCACCAACAGTGTAGGATGGTTCCCTTTTCTTCACACCCTCTCCTGTATTTATCATTTGTGGATTTTTAAATGATGGCCATTCTGACCGGTTTGAGGTGATACCTCATTGTATTTTTGATTTGCATTTCTCTGATAATTAATGATATTGAGCATCTTTTCATGTGCCTATTGGCCATCTGTATGTCTTCACTGGCGAAATGTCTGTTTAGGTCTTCTGCCACCTGACCTCTTTTTAGCTTCTGGTGGCTCCTGCAATCTTTGGTGTTTTTTGGTTTATGGTTCCTTCACCCCAACCTTTGTCTCTGTCTTCACATGGCCAGCCTTTTCTGTGTGTATCTCTGTCTTATAAGAACATTAGTCACTGAATTTAGGTCCACCCTAATCCAGTATAATCTCAGTTCTTACTAATTACATCTGCAAGTACCTTATTTTCAGGTAAAGTCACATTCTGGGGTTCTGGGTGGACGTATATGTTAAGGGCACACTATTCAACCCACTACAGATGGCCATGAGGGAGGGGCCTTTTCCCAGGGCCTCTTTGTTGTGGAGCCAAATGGGTTTGACTGCTAAATTAAGGGAGTTGCAGAGAGAGCTGCAGCTGGTGAGACGCTGCATGCAGGTTATTTTGGGTGAGTGATCAGCAATCAAGATATGAAACAACAGCAGGCTTGTTAACTGGGAGCTGCAGAAGGCAGAAATAGGCTTTTTCCAGGAAGACGGTTCTTCTCCTTCTCCTTTTGGGAATTGTACATCTCTCCTGAGGTTTAACCTGACAATGGATTGGATCCTTTGGTTTAGGTTTGAAAACTTTGGTAGAACAAATTCTTGTGCACAAGCAGTCAGGAGCCTGGCCTGGTTGTCCCTGCCCTGAGCACATGGTGGGTCTCAATCTTCCCTGTGCACCAGGCTCTGGTTAAAATGCAGATTCCTGGCCCCACCCCTGAGATTCTGATTTAGCAGGTCTGGGGTTGAGACCCTAGAATGTTTGAATGAGGACCTCCCTCCTCACCTCAACACAAGCCCAGTGACTCTAATATCAGACCACATTTAGAAAAACATTTAGTGGACTTGAGTACCACTTAATTTGTCAAGAGGCCTAAATTAGAAACCTACAATGGGAGACTGAGGGGCTTCAGGTGAGCTTCACACTGTCATTTTAGAGACGTTAAAACTGAGGCTGTCAGAGCATTTTTAGGCCAGTGAAACTATTCTGAATGATGTAGTGGTGGATACATGACATTATGCATTTGTCAAAACTAGTGGAACTTACAACACAAAGAGTGAACCCTCAAGTAAACCATGGACTTTCTTTAATAATAATGTGCCAATATTGGTTCATCGATTTTAACAAATGTGCTATATTAATGCAAGGTGTTAATATTTAATATTAGGGGAACCATGAGGTGGAGGTAGGGAGGGAGAGAGTATATGGAAACTTCTGTACTTTTGGCACAACTTTTCTATACACCTGCTCTAAAAAATAATGCCTATTTAAAAAAAGAAGAAAAAGAAAAAGCTTGAGGCCCCACAGAGACATGGCAGACACCAACAGTTACAAAGTGGTGAAGTCAGGATTGGAACCAGAGCAGCCTCTGTGCTGAAGGCTCTCAACCCAAACTTGGATTCAAGGATTGCCTTCCCACACTTCTAGCTGGTCTCTCTGAGCTCACCTGGGGCAGGGCTAGACTGGTATGAAATGGGGGCAGCGCTGCTCCCAGTGAGGAGCAGCACACAGGAGGGTAGAAATGGAGGAAATGCCCACAAAAGAGAGGCATGGCTATCAGAGCCTGAGAGGCTAGAGGCTCCGTTAAAAGAGGGCTTGGCTCAACTTTCACCTGGAGCATTGAAATAGCTTTTGCTCTCCAGGACAGTGTGGGTGTCCCTGAGCCGTGCTACAGACAGAGCTGGGGAGGGAGGAATCCCTCTGTGACTCTTCTCCCCACACTTGGCTTTTCTGTCCTTAAATTCAGCTGAAACAATTCTCTAAGAAACAATGCTGGGTGCTCCCCTCCCTTTATTCTACAGTGAGCTCAGTCTTCTGTCCTCATTATCCCTAAACCACCCTGTGATTTAAGGTAAGAGTGGTGCCTGGTAGGATTCTCACCTGGTTCCTCCTGTGGGGCCCTGTGCTCAGCTGGGCAGCTGCCCTCACACTGGGCCAGAGTGTCAACAAGGCCCCCCTGGGCTATGGGCTCCTGAAATTTTTGGTGCCATGGATCTCTTAAAATATTTTCTTATGCATTAAAAACAAAAACAAAAAACCAACACAGGATCACAAAGGAAGCTAGTTATGTTGAAATACAGTTGTGAAAATATTTAAGTGTGTGATGTTGCAATACATGGGTTTCTTTACTAACACATTAACAAGATCAAGGGGTGAGCCTAATAAACTACTGTGAACTTTAAGTAGAAATGAGCATAAACAATGTTTCAAGATATCTGCATCAACTGTGAAGGGAAATGAAAAGCCCTGCTTTCTACTGGCCCTGTGAATGCAACTGTAGTTTGCTGCCTTTATTCATAACTGAGGAAATGGAGGCGAGTGGAAGTAAAGATGTAATATTTTCCAATTCAAGTTCATGGACTTTGAACTTAGACATTCCAGTGTACAGTCTATGGTTTATGGACCCCAGTTAAAAACCCTTGTCTCAGATACTAAAATGTGACCTTAGGGATCCTCTGCTACTTCTTCTTTTTTTTTTTTTTTTACATTTTTTTTATTGAGTTATAGTCATTTTACAATGTTGTGTCAAATTCCAGTGTAGAGCACAATTTTTCAGTTATACATGAATATATATATATAGTCACATTTTTTTCACTGTGAGTTACCATAAGATCTTGTATGTATTTCCCTGTGCTATACAATATAATCTTGTTTATCTATTCTACATTTTGAAATCCCAGTCTGTCCCTTCCCACCCCCAACCCCCTTGGCAACCACAAGTTTGTATTCTATGTCTATGAGTCTGTTTCTGTTTCTGTTTTGTATTTATTTATTTATTTATTTATTTATTTATTTATTTATTTATTTATTTTTTAGATTCCACATATGAGCGATCTCATATGGTATTTTTCTTTCTCTTTCTGGCTTACTTCACTTAGAATGACATTCTCCAGGAACATCCATGTTGCTGCAAATGGCGTTATGTTGTTGGTTTTTATGGCTGAATAGTATCCCATTGTATAAATATACCACATCTTCTTTATCTAGTCATCTGTTGATGGACATCTAGGCTGTTTCCATGTCTTGGCTATTGTAAATAGTGCTGCTATCTCTTAACCAACCCTCACTGCACCATAAACTGTGCCCACATCCCCCACCTTGTATGATGATAGAGACAGGTTGGAAATGCTCAGATCTGTACCTGGACACCTACAACATATATTACCCACCATTCCCCTGTGTTTCCCAACCTCGCTATCCAGGTAGGAATAGGTCAAACTGGGGCATTTGCTAGGGAATTTGCTGAGGCTTCTATGTCTAGTTTTCAACTAGGTGGAATCCTCCCTTCCCTACTCCACAGTGTTACCTCTAAACCATTTTACCAATGAAGACATTTGGGCCCAGAGTAGAGACTGGGGTCCAAGTCTCCTATTTACCACCACACTGTTCTTCCCACTGGAACAGTGGCATGATCACACACTGAGATCAATGTGTGCTTTTCTCCCAACATTACTGCCCCGTCCCCTCAACCACCACAGGCACAAAGGTAGCTGGGCCTTTGTGACAGGTTTGTGTTAACTGGCCAAGAGAAGAAACTTCCAGAAAGACATTTGTTTCTCTCAGTTTTCCCAAATGTCTCTTGAGAATATTTTGCCAGGACACTAGGAGAGAAAAAAGTTAGGAGAGGGGGAAGTGCATTTGAGAAGCTAGGTGGTTTCTCCTGACCAGAAGAAAGCAGAGGAACATTAGTGCCCACATTCTGTTGGGACCGTGTCCAGCTGCCTGTCAACACTCCGGAAAAATTCAAGAAAAGGCTGCTGGGTACACTCAAGAAAACTGGACCCTAAGCACAGGGCTCCTGGTCTTGGCTGAAATTCTGTATCCTAAGTGTGTTCTGGGGCAGCAGAACCATGCACCTGAAAGAGCCCTGTGCACTGGGACAGTGGTCTTCTGTGAC